GGGGGGGGGGGGGGTCAGTCTCTCAGAGGGAGACCAGAAAGGGAATAGAAAAGGGGGAGGGGTGACTCGAGACTCGCAAGACGAGACAGGACGAGATTACCTCGCCGGGGGAGGGGGGTAAATAACACTCGAAGAGTAGTAAACGAAGATAAGGGAATTACAAATAATTCATACTACAATAAGCGTTCATCATCGCTCGCGCGCACGTTTCATTATTCAAACGCGTGTTGCTTCAACGACCATGGGAAGGGGGGAGGAGGAGGGCGAGAGAAGTGCCCGCGCGCAATTCGTGGGATGACTAGGCCTTTAAACGTTCTAATTAACGCGCCGCGCGAAACTCGAGGCTCGTTTCTCTCCTCGTCATGTTTTGCCTGTCTTTTTCGTGCCGACCGGACGATGTGCGCCTCGCTTAAATATCTTTGGATTCGGTCATTCGGGAGAAGGTTCTTCTGAGGTACTTTGGTACGCTAGGCCGGGCCTGTACAAGGAGGGGTGGATTTGCCAGTTAGTGGTATGCATATTAACATGCGTCAACTCAACGTATTACAAAAAAAAAATATTATACATATACAAAACAAAGAAATATAAATATATATATTTGCAAAGTATATATATTAATATAAATATAAATATTAATAATAATAAAATAATAAAACATTACGCTCTCGTGCACAGGGCTACTCTCTAAGGGTCGATGCTCGCTATCCGCCGAGACGGCGGTCCGTCGATCCTCAAGTTTAATGCTCGGGCATTGCGATATTCACGGAATCCGTCAACGTCGCGCCTACTCGCGTTAACCCTTTGAGTACTGAATTATTTGAAGATTTTTATGCCCACGGGACGGATTTAATTTGTCGCTATATGGATTAATATGTAAAAGTACTACATTTTATGCCCAAGTAAGCAGATGACGAGTCTCACTCGTCAAATGTACCGAAAGGGTTAACTCTGGTGCTTATTCAATTACTAAACTAAGATTTCTTTGCTATTTATAATAGCAGCAAAATAAATAGCATGCGTCTGTGTTGGTCCAGTGCAATGTAAAACTGACGGACGATCGACGGGTGCTCATCCGCCGCCGTCTAGACGGATAGTGAGAATCGACCTTAAATCTAGAGCTTGCTTTACAGAGACGAAGGGCCGAGTCCGGAAGGATGTTTCTTTCCCTTCTTTTTTTGAAACACATTCGAGATGACGAGAATGCACCGGGAACAAACACACCGTGCCCGTTTATGGGAACACGCAAGTGTGAAAGTTCCTTCGCGCATGTATTCTCGCAAAGATTGTTTCTCTCTTTTTTTTTTTTTTTTTTTGAACGTGTAACTGCATCCACACAGGCCATTAACACGATCGACTCCTTCGTCACTTGTCATTAGGATGCAAATCCATTCGCGGCGAAATCAATAAGAAGAAGGGCGAAGCAAACAAAAACGAAACAAGATCGGTCGTTATCGCCGACTATAATATGTACACGACTAAAACGTAATAATTTATTTTCTTTTCCGAAAGCGAGGAATGTGTAAATAATCAATGGCAATTTGTAAGACTGACAAAAAAGGAAATTGCCTATATAGCATAAAGGTACACGATATAATACGCAAAATAATTTACTTAAGTACATTTCTCATCGTACCGAAATTAAATAACGTACAACTTTTTCCTCCTAATGTCCTTTTTTTCCTTTTCCCAAGATAATAAGTTAATAAGATTTCTCCCTCTCTTTTTTTTTGGTGTAAAATAATAAAATTAGAAATAGTAAAATGCGCTACGTTTATATATAAATAATTAACAGGTATAGGGACGCGTCAAAAAATGCAGAGCAATAAGTTAATATAAATATTACAGTTCAGGCGAACTCTCTAATGCCGTAAATGTTAGTCGTGTTACTCCATATCTAAAATTAACATTAAAAAAAAAACGATAATCTTTGGAATGCGCGATATTACAGAGGCGACGAGAGGAGGATACGGACAGCCGCAGTGAGAGAGAAAGAACATAAGGATTGGGGAGAGGGGGGGGAGGATGTTACTCAGGAGCATCTCCTGCATGTTTCTTACATGGCGATCTTCAACGACGAATAATAATGTAAAAAGCACGATGCACAGAGGTACGAGACGGGAGTGTACAAGCAAAAACTCGAACTTAAAAGTACAAAAAGAGAGGCGAAAATAATAAAAAGAAGGAAAACAGCGTTAGAGAGAGAGAGTTAGAAGGCCGGCTAGCGTGTCTAATGGCGACTGGTACGGGAGTAATACCAGGACAGGGCGGGTTGTTCGTGAATATGACTTTGATTTTGGATATGTGGTTGCTCTACCTTTACGGGACTAGTTCCTGCCGTCAGGAAACTGTCTTCCAGAGCCATGGATGCAGGCGAGAACAGTACGGAGGTGTCCAAACTCTTACTCTGTGGAAAGAAACAGGATACGGTATATTAGCCACTGATACCTACGTACGTATGTACGCACGCACTCACACGCAGCCGTCGGAAATCGATTCGCGAGCAAGCGAACGCGCGACAGTCATGCTGCGCGGAACCGTCGATTGACAATCACGATCGGCGTATGTTTTCATTTCGATCCCCGATTACGGTAAGTTGATCCCTCAGAGATCATTGGTCTGTTCTTTACAGCTGCCGGTGTAATAAGTTGATGTGAGACAAGTATATGCTTTCTCACTTCGACTTATTGCACCAGTTCAGTAGCGCAGCTGTAAAGGACAGAAAGTGTTTTTCAGATTTTTTATTTTAACCGCGTGTTTGTGAAAACATTGTCTATACATCTGTACGGTGAGAGAAAGATTGACCGTTCAGCAGGTGAGATATTTGCAACCAAAGCGAACACTTCCCTGTATGCCGAGATTAGCATTCTATTTTTACCTCCAATTTTTTACTTCTTCCCAACAATATTTGGAATTGGAAAGTAGAAGATTGAAAAGTAGAAGACTGCAATATGTCAAATATTAATATACAGATATACACGAGAATTTTAGTATTATTGGCAGCTTTATTCTTGAAAATATTGTGGTAGAAAGTAATTTATTTACTCGTAGTTCAATATTTATTCATAATTTATTTATTTATGATTTGTAGTATGCGTATATGTAATACACATATTTAAACGTTTATATGTCTCTTTTTGTTACTTGTTCATCTCTGTTAGATCTACTCGTGCATAAATAATGCGTTATTTAAGAAAACTATTTTCATTACATATGAATCGGCTCTTTACTTGGATTGACTTGGTTGAAAAGAAAGAAAGGGCAACGAGCCTTTAAAATATTTTCGTAATTGTAATTAGACATGTGCAAGGTGTTCCAGCATAAGGAGAACTCCTAAATATCATGGAGGCTTAAATATAAGGATTTTGAAAAAAATCGAAAAAAAAAGTTTGTAAAGAAATTCCCTTCCGCGATATTCCTCCTTCAAAACCATTCAAAAATTGTGTTGTACACATTTCTCATATTATTAAAATCAAAGGAGATATTTAGATGTTCTTATGTCGAGACACTCTGAATATATCTATCTCAATTTTGCTCCAAATTAATCATATATCTGTCACTCAGTGAGATAAATTTATAGTGAAGTAATTTTGTTCAATAAACAGTGAATTTACGAGAGGCTCCCTTGATGTTTTCGGCATGCCACTTATTTTAAGATACCCGAGACAACCTGAAATATAAGATCATTAATGCCGGCATAAAAGCGTCAGATATAAGTTTCAAAGAGAAAACAGGAGACTTTTCTGACTGGTTTATTTTCCATGTTCGCAGCACGCCATGTTGGTAACACTCTAGCAGATAAGTTGATCGTCAACTCGCTCAATCAGAATATAGCAAAGGTCACCCTTCGCGATTGGCGTTCTCGCACAGCTGACTGTCACGACTCGTTGCACCGATTGTACCATAGACATATAGAATAAGCTGAGCCTTACTTTGGAAAGCTGAAGCCAAGATCGAAGGGCGGAAATACGTTAACAGTGGTGCTTTCTGTCACACAATATGAGTAATTCTCACACAATAAGAGGGAGCGAGGTAGGGGAAACAGAAAAGGAAATGTGAAAGACATAGTGAAAGAGAGGAATAATGTGTATTTTTGTGCGAGAAGACACATCCATAATACAGCGTGTGCGTCCATTAGATGTAATAACTACACATAATAATTATAACTAACGCTGTCAATTTCGACTATCCAAAGTCTTTCAGTAACTGAATATACAGCTCATTTCAGACGCCATTATTATCTGTTATCGTTAGAAAAATCAATAATTTGTAACGTCTGAAATTAGCCGTATACTCGATTATTAAAAGATTCGAATACCCGAGTAGCTCAGAAATTGACAACACTATTTGTTCCCGTTGATCTGCTCGTTTTGGCTGAGCTGACTGCACCAATTCAAGAAATTCACATATACATTGAAGCGTATGTGCGAAATTTTCATGCTTCAATTTACGTAAATTTCTTGAACTAGTGTAATCAGTTCAGCTAAAAAGAACAGACTACGTGTCGCTTCTCTTCCTTTCTCCCTAACTACACGACTAGACAAGGTAAGCGCTACTGTCTCTGTTGCCCTCTTTTACCAACACCGGCCTTCAGCTCTCCAATGGGAATACTCAGTCTATTCTATATGCCTATGGATCACAGCATAGGCAACGTACCGGTGTCTCCACCACGTAACTCGTGTCGGAGTTGTCCTGAGTCGAGTTCGCCCAAGCCTGAGACAACGCCTTGCGCGCGCGTTTCCCGCCGGGAGCGCTGTTCTCCTTGCCGCGTATTCTCCGTACCGTCCCGTAGCCCGAATCCTGATGAATCGTGCTCGTTCCGGCCAGACCCTCGCGGTCGGTCTCCTGCTTGATTATCTCGGTCAAGGCGTCCAGGCGACTCGGAGTGGCGGGCAGTTGCGTCGTCGTACCACTGCGTAGCTCGAACTCAGCCATGGCTCTCTTGAACGGAGTCGGTGTCCGCGGAGTGATACTGTCTGCTGAAGCAACGAAATATCTTACAAATGTGTTCGGTCGATCGCAAGTATCATTTCACGTCCTTTTATCTCGACAAGTATCCCGCAAGAACGTTTGGACGTTTTCTCGCTTCTGACGTCATTAAGCGAGACGACTGCGCAGCGAGGATCTTTTCATTTCAAATATCGCCATGCCGGCATTCGTAGTCAGATTTTATATTTAAGACCGTCTTAACCCTTTCGTCACGGCAGTCCGCGCCGCGAAGTGTGCGTATTGCACGTCGGTAGTCTTCGATGTTCGCACTTACGTCTTTCAACACCACTTTGGGATTCTCTTGTATGTATATTATTTTCAGAGCTAGGTAACAACTTTTCGTCGTATTATATGAGAAACATGAAAATGAGTATATGAGTATTCAGTTATTTACATGTTTGCAAATTTTCGGGGTCGCGCGCGTACGCCGACTATAGTCGGCACCCGTAACGAAAGGATTAAGTTCATCCTCAGATGTTGTACGGCTCATTTCATTGACTACATAACACCTGAAAATTGAACTTAAGACTGTCTTAAATATAAGATCCGACTATGAATACCGGCATAGATTTGTGTACTCTAGAAGAAGATGGAAATGTAACTAGTAGGATTCAGACCGAATAGCTAGGATTTCAATCAGTCCCATCCTAGTTACTTTTGCTTACGATCGGGTATATCGACGAAAAATCTATCTTCTTTCAGAATACATAAATCTAAAGCACTATTGGCGAGATCGCTGAAATCGGTTCTCCAATCTAAATTTACGTCCTATGTTCACGATTGCGATAATTCGTGTGCGAAAGCCCCAGCCTCTAATTATAATGATAAGATTAAAGTGATCTAATTATAACAATCTCGGCCTCATATGTATAAGATGAAAGGCTAAAAAATCGTGTAAGGGTCAAGTTTCAATCTAGATAATAATACAGCGTGCATGACGTCGGCCGTACGTCAGATTCGCTCTTTACTTTCGAGCAAAACTATTCATTTGACGTTTCAGAACGGAGAATTCACTCTATGCGAGCGAAAAGTCGCGTGAATTCGAGCGACTCGCTGGCTAAACTTTTCTCGAGCGAGATTTCGGCCCCAAGAAATTTCAAGGTGAAATTTCTTGGTGGTCACATGCAACGCAACGAGGAGGCAAGAGAGAGAACTTCGACAACGTTCGTTCCTCCCGGAGGGCGTACCGTTCTGACTGCGTCGGAGACCGGTAGGCTGGGGAGTCGTGAGCGGGCCAGGACTGCTTCCCTTGGGAGTGCTTGCGCGCGGCCAGGACGATGTTTCCGGGCTTAGGCTGTTGAGGAATTGCGACGGACTGAACGGGAGTTGCTTGATGGGAGTTGTAGGACTGTCTCCAGGCTGCATTTGTTGACTCATGACGATGTAATCCGACTGGTTACCGCTATCGGGAGTCTCGGTTCTCTGCACGAGGTTGTTCTTGTGTCTACGTAGTATAGGCGGCTTGCTGCTCTTCTCCTTCTCCACTTGCTCGGTTATCTCCTCCAGATCCGGCATCGGCATCAATCTTATCTCCGAGCTCTTCGAATCGGACGCTCCGCACTGCATGTGCAAGTTGTAATATCTTCGGGGAAACGAAGGACGTTTAGAGATCGTTCGTATCTTTCGGGTAACGATTGCGAATACAAGCGTTACTTCTGCCGTTACTTTGCTACGTGTGGAATACATGCACGGCGAAAAGTCACGGATCTTCAAAACACAGTGAGGAAATAATAGAGATCGCGACAAAATGAGATAGAAATTGTAACGATAGGAAAGCGACAGAAATTGCTACGTCGCAAGTAACAATAACAAGTTATTTCTCAAAATTATTATTAAATTTAATCTCTCGAAGTAACGACAATAATAGCGATGATTTACCTTTTTCATCGGTTCTCACAAGTGAGTTACTCTTGAAAAAGCAAAAAAAAAAAAAGGAGACTTCTCAAGCGTAAAGATAACATACTTAGTGGTGAACGGCGAGATCGAGTCGTCCTTGATTCGGTACGACTCCCTCCTCGACGGGGACTGCGCGGACTTCTCGTGCGTACGTTTGTTCACGTGCAGCTCGTACTCCGAGGTTTGCTGTTGCTCCCAATTCCAATCCAGACACATGCCGACAGCCTGTGAGGCCTCACCCGCCGTCATCGTGGAGTTGCCGATAGCCGAGGCAACCTTCAGCCGGCTCTGGCTACAACTGTCGTCATCCAGGACATACGCGGTCGTCACCATGGCAGTGCTTTCCGTGTTTTTCCTTTTGCCTCTACCTGCAAGTTCCAACTCGTATCTGTCCGTGTTCTTTTCCCCTCCTGCTCTCCTGAAGCGTGCTCCGACTTTGCGAGACTCGAGATCTTTGGAAAAAAAACTGAGAGAGACCCGCAGAAGGTCGTACCTTTGATCGTGCTTCTTCCCTCTTCCCCTTCGTACTTCCTCCTCATCGTGCTGTTCCAATGATTCTTAATCGCATTGTCAGTCCTGCCTGGTAACAATTTAGCGATCTTGGCCCACTGATTGCCGACCTTGCGGTGAGCCTCGACGATTATCCTGTCCTCAGCCTCCGTCCACGCGGTCTTCTTGATCCCCGGGTTCAGGTGATTGTGCCATCGCTCTCGGCACTGCTTGCCGATCCGGCCCTTCAGGTGTCGCGCTATCAACGTCCATTTCTTCGGTCCGTATTTCTCCACCAACTCCACCACCTTCTCATCTTCCTGTGCAACGCAAAAGAGAGGTTTTTGAAACGGAGCAGAAAGTCGTCCCGACGCCGCTTAGCGCGTTATGAGAACTTTCGGATCACAGATTAACGTAACATTGAATCGCGCGATTTTTGCCTAAATTCGTCCGCATCACCTTGTACATTCAATTATAAAACAACGAGTCGGTAATGATCGGTCAATAATTATACTCGTGGAATTCAACTCGAACTGTCGTCGTGCATTTTTGCAGCTCGTTTTCACGGACGTTAAGTTTCACATAAAGCCCTGACATCTGCCAAGCCAAAAGTCACTAGTCTTTCTGATCGTTCGCGTCGCGTCCGGATATTCGCACACGACTAATCGATTGTTGGCCATTTTCTCATTTTGACATCTTGACATACCATATCATATCACATGGATTATTATATACATATCTTATTATATCGTATCATACCCAGATATTGCAGCGGATATCATAGATTAATATAGGCAACGAAGAGATTAGTGATTTTAAATCTAGTAAATGATGTTAAAGACTTTATTAAAACTCGGTGGATGTAGCGTATTTCTGAAACTCGATAGAAACTCCACCGTACAGTCAATAAATTAAACGGTGCGATACTTTTTTTCAACAAGTTCCGCAACACATCCAGCGTCCAACAGAATGCATTACATTTTCCTATTGGATACGAAATGCATCGCGAAATTCATCGAGAAAAAGTGTTGAGACTTTAAACCTATCAACTGTGTACAGTCGGCGTTATGCATGCTATAATATTCGTTAGATAGAAAATTACACGATTTTCAATCTTGTACTCAACTCATAAGGTTGAAAACCGCATAAGTAACTTTAATTATAATAATAAGGTCACTTCTGCAATTTTCAACTTGACGTGATAAGACTGGAAACCATGTAACTCTTCCAAGGAATGATAATATAGCATACGTGACGCCGACTGTACACACTTCTTGCATCATAGATACCTTATCATCAACTCGAGTTACGTATGCAATTTTCGACCTTATGCGTATACGATATAAGGTCGAAAATCGTGTAATTCTCGATCTAGGAAGTAGTAAGACACAGTACACGCAGTCGATGGAAGAAAAGTGGCAACAGCTTTACCTCGACGAGCTTCAAGACTCATCCGGAATGCAGAAGAGAAACGTATCGTCTGAGAATTGACAGACAAATTACCCCATTGCAAAACTGATTGAAAAGTGTTGCAACCTTTCCTCCCATCGGCCATGCACACTCTACACGAGTCCCAAGCCATAAATAGAAAGTCTCTTGAGAAGAAGGGACGATATTAGACGAGAAACCCAACGTAAGAGCGAGAAGATGAGAGCCGGAGGCTGTGTTTGGAAGCGGCGGGAAAAACCATAACCGCACGTACGCGCACTCGATTCTCCAAGCCGCGTTACTTGCCCTTGGCTGTTGCCAAGTGCATTGGCACGGCGCGTCGGCGACGCAGCATCACCGCGGCCCCCCGAGAGCTTTTTCTTATTGCATACCCCACCGAGCGAGCGAGCGAGCGAACGAGCGAACGAGCGAGTGAGTGCTCCGGGTCGGCGCGTACATGTGTACGTGTGTGCATGCGTGCGTGCGGCTCGGCGTCATCGTGTAGGCGGTATGTACAGTGCCGTAGCGGCGATAACGCACCGCCCAGCGATGATAAATTCATCCGGCGTCGGGCGGTTGCTTCGTGGAACGTTAATACGATGCTCGATTGTCTCATGATGACGACAGAACAACAACAGAACGCTCTCCTCGAAATATACCGCGTCAGCCAAGGAGTTCGGTTCGATTTTCGGTGCCTTCTTTGCGAATCGGTCGCCTTTCGCGCTAGAGATGAACAAAAGCCGTTAGAACATCGGCGAAGGCAGGCGATGACGATAACTTGGTTAAAAAACAACTTGCCCGAATGGAGTCAAGTGAAATCAGACTTCAAAGTCGAACCGGACTTTTTGATTTTGATCGTTTTCATTAGCGAGTGGTAATGCTAATTTGAGATTGGGGATGTGTATATGATGAAAGGCTCTCGAGATATACAATGAAGATAAAAGAAAATCTTGGTCGTAAGAAAGAAGTGAGAGAGACAACGCTGGCGTTCGGGCGATACAATGTTTAACGGAGGAAAGAAAGGTGTTTACATCCTATATATGGCGTTTCGTCCTAATGGAGCCTCGTCAATAATGTATAATACAATTGTATAGTACAATTTGAAATTCAAAATTACATTGTAATAAGGCTCAAAATTATAACGTATACAAATAAAAGGATTATAGCACCGATGTAAAATTGGTAAAAGTATTTTCAATTCAAAAGATTTTGACTTCTTTCATTTCAATTATTTTAATTAATATTTAAGGCTTCGCGGTATGAAGAAATGCTGGAAATAAAAGGATTATAGCACCGATGTCAAATTGGTAAAAGTATTTTCAATTCAAAAGATTTTGATTTTTTTTATTTCAATTATTTTAATTAATATTTAAGGCTTCGCGGTATGAAGAAATGCTGGATTTGTCCTCCCGGTCGGAGTTTCTTTGTGGATTTCTCTCCGACGTTTCGTGAAAATTTTAGTTCGCTCTATCGCTTCGTCAGATCTTGCACCGAGAGAAAAAAGTTTGGTATTTATAAATTCTACAATCTAAAAATTAGTTCAAAAGTTTCGGAAAAAAACCGTTCCTTTCTCAATTTTTCCGCGGATTTCTTCGGGTTTTGCCACAAGGATCCCAAAAATTCGTTTCGAACAATTCACGTGTGTTAAAACCCGCCACATTTACTTTTTCCGTGGAGAAGGTAAGAAACAAGACAAAAAAAAAAACTCACGGAAAACGGGGAAAAACGGGGGGGTTTTTTTTCCGAAACTTTAAAACTAACTATAATCATCACAGTGACAGAATTACAGCCAGAAGAACCGTTGTGTCCCAGTAGGTATTACTACAAGTGTCAGTGATAATAATCTTACACGCATGTTGTTGCTGCTATTTTTGCGGTTAAAACTATGAAAGGGGCACCCAGTCGGGGCCGAAAGTAACTGTAATTTCTCTCAATACGTTATCGAGCGAAGTTAACATCGCGTTAAGCGATGTCATCTTCCGTTCTCACGCGCGACGTGAGAGACTATCGCGGGCAACGACGGGGCTTCGGCGACGTGACTTCACGTTTGAAGATCGACGTTAGCAAAGGGCCGCCCACCTCCTTCGTCCACGGGCCCTTGACCAACTCCGGGTTCACGACCTTCGCCCATCTCTGTTGGCACTGCACGTCGCTGCGGTTTGGAAAGTGACCAGCTATAGCGTCCCACCGCAGCCCAGTGCCGTGCTGGTCTGCGTTGCTCACCAGTTGTTTCAACAGAGCGTCCTGCAATAAAGTGACCGACAGTGAAACAATGAAAACACACACTCTCTCTCTCTCTCTCTTTCCCTTTCTCTCCCTCTCCCACCGCCGCCAGCACTTTCTACTCGCGGTGTTCTCCGCACACTCATTCGCGTACGGAGACACACACGGTGCGCCTCAAGTGCACCAAACAACAACAACAACGACAAGCCGAGGCAAGGCGTGGCGAGACGAAACGGAGGGTGAGACGAGAAGAGAGGAGATCGATCGCCCCTCGTCGGCTTTCCCACGTGAAGCCCCGCGCACGCGGTGCACCCTGTGTTCTCTATGGGACCACAGGCGTAGGGTAACAACCGAGGCATCTGTCCCGCGGGCACCACGTCGGAGGGCGCACAACTCGTTGCAGAAACTACGAAGGGTGGACATTTCTTTTTTATTTCGGCATCCGCGCACTCATTGTCCCTCTCCCTCCCTTCCCCCCTCCCATCCCCTTGGCCTCTCGGCCAACTTGCTACATGGAACCGATATGGTGTAGCGATACGCGCAAGCGACGATTGCGTCACGTCGGACGAGAACTGCCGGGACCGATTTAGAACGGGGAAACCTGGCGGAAAACTCGCGAGAAGCGGGGTATCCTCGTCTCTCGGCGGCGAACGAATTAATCGGTGATGGAAAGAAGGAAACTTTGAATACGTTGCGCGTCACTGTGATCGGTGATTGGGATGTTACTGTGTCTCGTTGGATTGTATCAGTTATAAAGTGTGATTGATCATACTTGAAAAATCGGTCGTACAAGGGGAAAATTTTACGAAGAAATTGCGGCAGAATTTTGTAACCGATTAATATACTGATATGTTCTATCTTAATTTATCATCCTTCGTTCGTTTTATATACTATTCGTATTATATGCTATTCGTATTTTATTCGTTTTATATACTATTCGTATTTTAAGAATTGAAGTTTACCGTTATAAAATTCTTCATGTTTCTTGGCAAGATAAACTCCACTGACAATTTGTTCCTGCACTATTAGAACATAGTGCAAAAAATGTACATGAAATAATAAAATTGAAAGAATGCAGTAAAATTGAAAAAAAAAAATTATATGAAATAGTAAAATTAAAGGAATTTACAAGAATTGAAGGAAACTGGTAAAATTGAGAGAAAAATTCATATGAAGAAAGCTGTAATATTCTCTCGTATGCGGCCACCAGAAAACGAAAGAAACGAGATGAAAGATATCCGGCGCGTCTCGAATTACATTTATTAATTGTATCTTTAATAATCCAATTATCAATTAATTCCTCAAAACTGCAGCGACCTCACCTCTTCTTTGGTCCATCTTCCTTTATTTATATGCTTCCCTTGGCTATGACTCGGCCCGTTAGCGGATGCTTGATTTTGCACTTGACTTTGTACTTGACTGACTCGACCAATGGGCGTACTGTACTCGTTGTCGGAATCTCCGCCGCTACTAGAATCGTAACCCGATCGAGAACTGCAACACAAAGAGACCGATGAGTCACACGTTTCTTACATTGAAAAAAAAAAATTTACGAGTAAAACTTTAATTAGATACGTGTCGAATATCGCTAGCTGAAAGAAAAATACTAATCAAATAGTATTACGCTGGAAACAATCATTAATTTCTCGAGAAAATCGAGTTTGAATCTTTTTATTATCACTACTTTTCTGCTTAGTGGAATAATATCAAATTTTACCAGAATATTTATAATAAAAATATTTAAACTTTTGTTATACAATGTTACGTTAAAAGCAAAGTTTAGTTTTGAAAGAAAGAACGGCTAATAAGAACCTAATCACGGCCGTTGTAATGATATGTAAATTTTTATTGTGAGAGAATATAATGATGTTCATCGAGACATCGCGCACGTACCGACGATTTGTCATACAAACGTAACGTATAATGCGGCGAATCAACCTCCTACAAATGCATCGACTCTTGAGAGAATCTCAGTAATGTAATTCGTAAAATCCCTTAAATTCCCTTCCCCTAATTAACAAATTTAACATTTGATTTCGTTTTTTCACATTGCGAAAGATAATGTCTCAGCCGGGAGTCGAACCCGGATTTCCCAACTCTCTTAAGTTGAATTAGTTAATTAAGTTGAAAAATATCACTGATTGACTTAGTGTTGTAATCGATAATCAACGAGCATTCAAATTTTTACTGGAAACATTTCTATTTAGATCTCTTGTCTTATATTTCACTGAATGTGAAGCCGGTGAAAGATTCATTGGAAATTGCTATCGTACATCCCCTGTACNTATATATATATATATATATATACTTATAATAATACGATATATATAGTATACAATATATATGTACATACGTTCAACCATATGTTGTATTTGACAGAGTTCGTATGGTAGCAGACTTAAGAGTGAAAGGTTTCCAGTCTCATCAGGACAAGCGTGTCAAATATCATATAAATTAAATCAATTAAACAAGTAAAAACATTGACAGCACCTTAAGAATGTGATTAAAATAATAAGAAAGAAGTAATAAATAATATCTTTTTTCACCGTTTCTGCAGTTAGATTTCTCTCATGGAAACAATCGCTGCTATCAACAGATTTTTGCAGCGAAACTTTACAGATTTGCAGTGCTATATTTATAACTACGACCAGTGACTATTGACTGCTTCTCAGTGATAATACACTGATTACATTTCAGAAAGTATTTACTGAACAAGGCGACATACCAATTCGGTATCCTTACCGAGGCTTCGACAATGTTCTTCGCAACATTTGTTAATTAGAAGAGACTTTAAGAAGTTTTATTCATTGCATTACTAGGATTCTCTCAAAGGATTGATTCATTCGTGGTGATTCATGTTGATTGCGCACGTTTATCTGACAAATCGTTGGTACGTGTCATCCAGGATGAACGTTTATCCTCCTATAATAAAAATTTACATATCGCTACAACAGTTGCAATTAGGCTCTTATTAACTCTTATTTCTTTCCTTAGTCACTAACAGAGACGTGTTAATATTAACAATCTTTAACTTTGATTTTTTCTCAAAAAAACCTTTATTTACGTAGAAACTTTCTGCATTCAGCTCCGATAGTTCTTCTCTCATTCCGTGACAAATATTTAATATTCGGTCTGATTACTTAATATTCGCAAGAAAATAAAATGGCAGTAAAAAGAATGAAAATTGTTTTTTTTACCAATTAAATTAATTTGATTGGCTCATTATTATTATATTTTGTTATTATTTCGCTAAATCAAGCGATCCCATTCGACTACAAATCCGCGCACTCTGTGTAGATAGGAGAGGAAGGAAAACAGAAAAGTCCGTCACGCTCTGTAAACTCAGTCGTGCGCGCTAACAGCGCAGTACGATGTCGTGAGGAAGCGAGGGTTTTCTCGCAACGCAACCACGTCCACCGCTGCAATCGTCCGTGCGAATCGCAGGAACGCGACCTCGGCATGTACGGAAGAGAGCCGCTTAACCGTACGCGTGTGTTACACACGCGTGTATCTTTTATCCGCCGGCGAGTAACGGCAAGAAACGGGAAATCACGGCTGGCTGAGCATCCTTCCTGCGTTCCCGCGGACGTCATCGTTGTCTTCCCTTTTTCTTTTCGTCGTGGAATTTTTTCGTCCTAACCACCCCCGTCTAATTTCAACGATCCGGGAAGCAATCTCGACCGCGAACGGACGAACACCGGGGTCCGTTGCGGTCACGAGCAAGTTACTCGATCTTCCGTCGTTTCGGGATTTCCTGTCGTGTTCTCGGGTACGGGTAATTAAGGCGCCACTTTGTTAGTTTCCGCATCCTCCGCGATCATCGCCACCACACCTCCGATTAATATCAGACTAATTCATATCCGTCCTAAGTACACACATACGCACTGAGAGGAAAAATATCTAAAAAGAAATATTTATTCGACGGGTATAAGTAATAGTATATTTACTTATATTTGTATAAATATTTTTGCAATGAGAAGTTTTTCAAATGAGGAAATGTGCAATTTTCTAAAATCTGTAACTTTCCATGAAAGCAATTGTTTATTCCAAATATTTAAATAAATTATTTTAGATTTTAAGTAAATATGTTATTAATACCCGTCGGATAAATATTTTTGTTTTTTAAATGGCAATATTAGAAATAAATAAATGAAGAAGAATGCATAAAGCAGATCATTGAACCATCCTGTTTGCGGATGTTACTGAAATCGGTCATTACAGCCAAAATGGTAGTGAGAGTTTTTACTCAATTGCATGGAAAATGGCTCAAAGAGATTCTTTATGTATGATATATTTGTGGGTGTATAACTTATGAAGTACTTGAAACAAGTATAACATTTGCTTGAATATAATATGTATTTTTCCGTGCGTACGAAATCATAAGACTGCGGAGCTACCGGCTCACCCGCACGCGCAACGCATGGAAATCGGAAAATCGCGACGACAGGGGGGGAAAAGAGGGGGAGAGTAGGTCAGACGACATCCGTCGAGTGGTGTATCGCCACGATTGAGGGGGCTCTCTAAAGATATCCGACTTATTACGCACCGCGTCCGCATTGTTTTCACTTTCTTAACCGGCCGGCGACAACCATTGCGGGCACAACCGATAATTAATTACTCCCACATCAGCCCCGACTACAGCATCGGTTCGGGACCTGAGTCTGCGGGCTGTCTGGCTGTCTCCAAATAACAATGCATCCGTGTGAGAACAGAAGGCAATGTCGAATACTCCTTCATGTACCGTGCAATCTAGTTCACCCTNTTTCCCCCTTTCTTTCCCCCCCCCCCCCCCCAACAGCTGCGTACACCGGGGAGGAAGAGAGATAGAACGAAAGAGAGAAAGAGAACCCAGGGTGAGCGACTCAGGATGTAGTTAGCTTATGCAACGATAGCATTCGCGGAGCATTACGGACGTATGCGCGCCATGGTAAACATATGTGTGCCGCAGATGGCCCCGAAAGGCCCACCGTTCCTATTGCTTTATCCACCCCGGCCTATCGATCGAAATATTTCCGCCGCTAATGAGCGCCTCATTCCGCGCGGTATCGTTATTAATGCCGCCAGAATGAATTCCGGTGTCGCCATGAACTCAGAAAAAAATCAGAATCCGGTATAAAAGATATAGGCGTTTTTTATATTTCTATTTTCATACTTATATATTTGATCTGCTGAAATAATTAGACTAATATTTTAACATGGCTCTTGACGTGTTCGCAACCAGCATGCGATAAGTCGGACGGAAACGCGAATATTAAAAGGTAATACAGTCAACAATTCTCAGAAGGATAAAAATAAATTTTAACACACATAGAAATGTATGCAAATAGGCTGACTACCCTTAACCCATTAACACTTAAATGCATGATGTTTTATTTTTTTTTATAAAATAATTTGAATGAATTTGAAACAGGGTTGCTATTTATTGAGATATGAGATAAAAAATCATACGATGCAGAACTACATCATGATGCATTTAACCTGTTAACTGGGTATGACAAAATATTTCGTCATACACGAACTACTACTGCAATGGGCATGACGACATTTTTCGTCATGGAAATTTGCCGTAATATTTGGAACGCAAACAAAAAAAAATTTATTCCCCGGTTAACAGGTTAAGGGTTAAAGGTTATAATTATTTCACGAGTACTTTTAATTGAAGATTTAATCAGTATTTTCCCGAAAGCCTCAGATTAGCATTAGACTTTTGTTAATATTATAGATATAAATGCGATTTAAATGTTGAAAATATTAAAATAAGATTATCTATTAATCAAGCGATTTTCTCGAATTTTTACTAATAAATGAATTAAGGTAAAAGAGGGAACTTAACTTTCTTTAAAATTTAATTTTAAAGAAATTTAACTTACTTTAAAACGTAATTTGAGTTTTTACCTTAAAAATAATTTTAAGGAAACTTAATTTATAATATAATTATACTTAATTTATAATATAATTATATTAACTTAATTATAAATTGGAATTTCTTTATTTCTTTTTATTAATTCTTTCATTATTTTGCTTATAAATTTTCTTTATTATTAATTTAATCGTTTAATTTATTTCCCACATAGTTTGTCATTTTTCTTACGTAACGTTTTAACGCGAGCTTGTCGTTTATAGCGTCAACTTGTCCCGAGAGTTCGCGAAGAACTTCAACGACATGCTCGACATCATTTATTCTGTATTCTCATGATTTTTATTTCTTCGTGTAAGTACATACAGAAGTAAGCAAGTAAGGCTATATCTCGCTCATGCTCATCGTATTATTACACACGATATACATAACGCGAGAATTCCAACGCGGTCGTGATTTATCTCTGGCGCCACACATGCATGCACACGCGGTTGCTACGCGTTATGGACAACAAGAAGGATAAAATTACGTCATCCCGAGCAACCTAACGCGACGGAATGCAAACAGGCCGAAACGACATCACACTCTCGTTTAATTACGCCCGAAAAAAGAGCCCCTTTCACGAGGACGAAGTCGA